TGATACAAATCTGCCCTAAGTTCCTTCTGGTGCGTTCTGACCCATAATAACCTTTGAGCTTCTATCATGGTATAACCATCAACTATGAATTGCTGGAATAACTTCTCTGCATGAAGTATGGTTGACATCTCATTTTCCCTCATCATCAACCTATATGCAAAATACTCTCTAATACTAACCCGCTTTTTCTTCTTAGTATTAGAAAGAGTCTCTTCACGGTGTTCTATATTGTCACGATAACCATCCTCACCTCTAGGAAACAATATTGGGTATTGGAGTGGAAGATAGGAAGGATGCAATTCATCAATACGTTGTGGCAAGCCTGACAACTTGTGAACTATAACATCCCTTCTACTGAAATTCATATCAATGTCACCAACAATTAAAGCAGCAACCTCTGAAGTAGACGGCAAATTGTAATTTCGCCCATCCTTCCTTCTTGTACTAATCAAACAAATTTTCACATCAGTGTTTTGGTCATTCTTGATCATTGATGATGCTGCTCGATATTGTTTTACAAAAGGGTTGGCATCATCAAGGGTTTTCTTGATATGATCAACAATATTATTATCAATGGCTGATTCTTTCATATGCTTGCTGCATGAACAGATTGAATTATCTGTTAATATAACTAATGATACTAAAGAAAAAATGCAAATCAACAAGAAGTAACCTTCTTAACCCAAAAAATTACCTTATAGCTTCTATACAGTTGCATACTTCATTGTCAGTATCATATATGTATAGTTGGGAGTAAACAAGCTTTGATCCTTTAGGAGGTAATAAACTTCCAATCCTATGGTAGTTAATGCCAGACAAAACAAATGAATAGGGACCACCACCAGAGTTCTTTGAGTAATCAATTTTACCACCCATAGAAGTAAAGGAGAACATATTGTTATAAGTTCTTATGTTTGTGAGGAAGTTTCTTGAAGATGGTGTCTTCTTGTCAAAAAATAATCTTACAAACTGATCTGGAGGAAGTGCTAGAGGAGGAAGCTGAACTTTTCCTTTAAGACAGCACATTGAGAATGATGGGTTTCTAGCATACTTGTTTGATCCAACTTTCTCATTGAACCACATTAGTGCACCACATCTTTGGCATTTAAATGTAGGATCCCCTATATCAAGATATCCTGCAACTATAACAACCGCATATCCTTAATGAACAGAAATTGAACCATGCACTGATGCGAAGGAGAAAAAAAATCAGGTATAATATATGACACCGCATACATTTCAGAATTTCATATCCTTCTCAACTAAATTTCCGGCGATTATTTGTTTCCTAAAGAGGGCCAAGTATGACCTTTCATGATCATGTGCAAGAAGATCATTTATCTTATTAGTTCAGATCTTTCTAAGTCTACTTCATCAATGCTGTGACTTGCGTAAGGAACATGTAAATGGGAAAATCTGAATAAGAACTCAATAATTGGAGAATTTCTCATTCCAATAATTGTTTCACAGGTTGATCAGCTATGATTATATTATGCTACTATGTAAAAGACAATATATCAGAAAGAATTCAACATGTCTAACCTTGTGTGGCTTTACCATTGTGCGCCTTCACAGATGTATGGTCAGGTTCAATGAATGTTAAGGTATTTGAAGTTTGATCACCTGAAAAGCACATATGTTAATTTATACCAACATGTATTATACCTAGTGTGCAAGTGCAACATTGAGTGGATGATATTTATACTTAATTCAATAATAAGATAAGGGAGTTTTTATTGAACTCATGTCCATGTGCAGCAAGATCATTTATCTGATCAGTTGACAGCTTTCTAAGTCAACTTCATCAATGCTGTGACTTGTGGAAGGAACATGTAAATGGGAAAATATGAATAAGAACTCAATAATTGGAGAATTTCTCATTCCAATGATTGTTTCAGAGGTTGATCACCTACGATTGTATTATGCTACTATGCAGAAAACAATATTTAGGAAAGAATTCAGCATGTCTAACCTTGGCTATGTGTAGCTTCAGCACTGTGCGCCTTCATAGATGTATGGTCAGGTTCATAAATGTAAAAGTATTTGAAGTTTGGTCACCTGAAAAGCATGTGTGTTGATTTATACCAACATGTATCATACTTAGTGTCCCAGTGCAACATTGATTGTATGATATTTTTACTTCATTCAATAATAACAGAAAGGAGTTCGTATTTAACTCGCAGCATATATGTCAAACAAAACTTTTTCTGCCCATTATTCTTGGAGTTATACTGTTCAGGAGAAGGGGAAAAATAAGATTACTGAATTTCCAAATTTAATATTGATAATATGTTATTAACCCTCACCATTATCATACTCATCTATACTAACTTCACTGCCAGTGTCACAAGGTCCGTCAAAACAAAAGGGTTAGATTCCTGTACCGTGCCTCAGCATTTTCTACAACAACATCTGCAGAGATAACCAATAACCAATATAATCAAGTGATGTCTAACCAAAAGGGGAATAAAACCAATCAAACCTGTGGTTGAACATGATGGAATCATGCCATCCATTTGTTCTGGTATGTGTGAAGTCAGAGAATTGATATTTGGCAACAATCAATGATTTGAATTGTTAGAACGAAAGGATAGATAGAGGGTGCATACTATATTAAACACAGATGTAATGTCTACTGGAAAGAAGGATTTGACATTTTCTGTGATACTGCAATTACCATGCACTGGATTATTAATTTTGCAAATTTACAAATGATAAGGACATGATATATTGGCCAAATAAACCAAATGATAGTTTCGAATTACTATTTCTTGTGTGCCCTGTTAACTATGCATTCATATAACTTGTTCGCTACCTTCCATTAAGTCAACTGAACTTGCTAGGAACCTGTAGCTTAATGCAAAATCTCTCTATGATTTGGATTAATCAGTTTTAGTTCCCACCTTTGCCATGTATGCTCAACATGTAATGTAATGGTGACAATATTGTTAAGAAAGACAACAATCTAATATGCAGTCCTGTATAGATAGAATTGATAGGTGCATATTTCATAATGCTATACTTCTGCATGGACAACACATACCACAGAAGCTCCTAAGGTTAATGAAAATCAGGGATGGTAACGGTCATAATTTTTTATTTAGAAATCACTGATAGATATTTAAAATGCTGATAATCTATTACCTACAGTATCCTCTGTTAGTACAGGGCCTTCATTGCGTTGATTGAGATTCTCAAATGCTACTAATCTACTGCTTCTTCGCCTAACTACACTGTTCCTGAACTCAAGTTCTCCTGGTACAATAGGAACCATAATTAGATAGCCTTAGTAGTAGAAGAATGCATAAGATATAATCGTAGCAGAAAAAACTTATGAACTTGATAATGATTTACCAGGCCTAGTATAGTTCTGGAATTCAGTTTCCAAATTTGTTGCAACATTTGAAATGTCCTTAAGTGCAGGTCTTCTTGGTTTGCACCTATTCGATGGGTTTGTATTTGTTTGCAGAACATCATTTTCCTGAGTGTACATCTCTGGTCTGCCATTAGCATTTCCCAAGTACACTGGACAATCTGTAATAGCACAATGATTCAATCATTCACTACAAATTTACAAAGGATGCCCAGTACATGAACATAACCACGAGACAACATTTTGACCATACCTGCATTCCTTTTTGGAAAATTTGCGTATGTGGTCCCTGAATGATTTCTTGGTCTGTTGATTTGTCGTGGACTGTTCTCAAGAAAGGTAAAAGTCTCATGTGGAATGTATGAAGGTTTCCTCTTCATGTGTTTTGCAGTATTTAGATTTGCTATGGATATACTTTACTCTGCACTTTTAGTAATGGTTAACAGAGAAGATTTCATGCAATTCGTAATGAACAAAGAAAATAAGTCATAAAAATCAAGCCAACTATTGGTAGCAATGAATCCCTACTATTTGTAGAGCAAATAAGTCTGCACCAGTGTAGGCTATATTGGCATTGATAAATGGATTCAGTCAAATCATTGCACTGCTCAATGTTTACAACTGGAAAAAAAGTAACCAGCAACTTTTGTGGTTGAGCTATGACTTTAAGTAATAAATATTTAAGGAGCTGCATTAAGATAGTAACTTAAGGTCATTAATATGTTATCAATTCGGAGAATCATGGGCCCACTTCATATGAAGCATTGACTACATTTTAGCTAATTCTATGACCAACGAAAAAAAAGCTACAAATGAGCAAAAAAATACTTGTCTGCAAGAAACACCTCATGCAACAAAATCCACACATGCAACTCTGCCAAGCTCATTTGCATCTTTTATTCCTAAAGGTTTGGGCTTGAGAATGGCCAATTAAAAACAACCATTGGGCTTTATTCAGTTGTGGGAACAAAAAAAGGCATGTCAGGCCATACAACACGGACAACCTCATTTTGGGGCAAAAATAATCTCAGCCAAGATTGGAGGAATTGCAAGTGTTAAGTGGCGCAATTTTATACCAGTTACATGATATTACTGTTTATTGTTGGGGTTGTATTTATTCTAGGCCCATCTGAGTCAATTGTTCCACCAAAGACAGTAAATGTTAAACTCCAAGTGATGTTTGATATGTCATTATCGAATTTCAGTTTAACATATTAACAATAACAGTATGATGCTTTTGCTGATTTTGCATAAACACGTCCATAGAAATTGACTCAGCATCATTCTTACTACCAACTACTGATAACAGGTATTTATTAAAGCCAGAATTGAAGGTTAAGCTTCAGCATCATTCCCAGTTGAATTTTGTTTGAAATAGAACCATCAATATTAATACTTAAATAGCCATGCCATTCAAATAACACAAATAACATACGTTTAGTCACCAGGTCCATGAAGCCAAGTGACACACAAAAAGACATTCCATAAATTAAAAGACAATCAACTATGTAGCCACATAGAAGATCCTACATTCCTAATGAAGAAACCAGAAACCAGCTGACATGGTCTCATAAGGACTAATCCAAAAGATGACAATGACAAGACATGGCAATAACACTAAAATTCTTCAGTTCTTCTCTTGCTTGATGCTCTTTAAAGGCTTGGACGATGTCTTGATAGGTGAGGCATTGGGTGAACGAACCCATTTCTCCTTAACTCCAATGATCCTCTTCCCAGCTACCTTCCTCTTTGGCCTGTAAGTTGAGGGGCCAGCTATCCTAGACAGAGGTATCTCCTCAATGCCGGGGCTGTCTTCATCATTCTCGTCGATGGCAACATTAGTAACTTCATTCAATACTAGGGGTCAGCAGTGACAGATTCAGGAACGACTGTGTCAGTGGCCTATAAACATTGAGGAAACAAACAACACATTATCCCCAAATGTTAGGGAATTAAAACTTTAGCAACATGTTTATATCTAAGTACCTCTTCTTCAGCATGGGTGTTCTAATCGCTAACCTGTACATGGCAGGAACATTTTTTTCCAAAAAAACTGTAAGCTGAAATTGAAAGTTGAAAAACAAACAAAGCCCTTAAATTGGAACTTCAATATAATAGTGTCTTGCCTCATTGAATTCATCCATCAAATCAGTGCACTGTGTGAATGATGCAACAGATATGCCAGAATTTGGGAAGTCAACGTTATACTTGTTCAGCTTAAGTTTCAAGAGCACCGTCTTTCCAACCATTAGGTCTAGCTCATCAGGAAAATCATATTCACGTTCCTCCTTAAGAAGCATAATACACATTTTTAATTTTTAAGTGACGCAAAGCCATGACTAGACTATACATGATCAACAGAAATAATCCATTACCTTAATAAGAGTGTGATTCATCTCAAGTGCAGTCTTTTGGAAGAAATTAGAAGCAAGTTTGTCAAAGAAGACTACAGTTGCCTTGCCAGATGAATCCTCAACCGTGTAGTGGACCCTTAACCTATAAATAATACTCATTATTAACCTTAATTAAGTGAAGCTCGCACCCATAAAAGATTTCTGAAGATGAGGTGAGTTAAAGTTGTACTTGGGTTCAAAAGTCACATGTCCTTTCTTGCAATTAATGCATGTTTTTTTCCCACTCACACTCCTTGGTTTGCTGCCACACCTGGAGCAACCTTCATAGCACCAGCCATGCCTCGTGTCAACTTTGACTACTAAGCACTTTATGAGGAAGAACGAATCCTATCAAACATTTACAGTGATCAAACCAGTAATCTACCATATCACAGTTTAAGAAATTACTAAAAATAATAAAGTCTGAAAATACTTACAGCTGGCTGATTGCATATGTCTGCAACAAAAATCAAAGGATGGTTACGAAGCAGGCTAGTTGCAGACTGATCATTTGATTGTGTAGTAGCAGTATGAGAGATTGTGCTGATAGTAGGAGAGGGTAATGTGGTAGCACTGCTCTAATGATACGGATCAATAATTAATAAGTTATGGTTTATGGGAATAAAATGACATATGAGAATGGTCAACATTGGTGTGGGACATGCCAATGCACTATACCTATCGATAAAATGCTTGACTTCTGGAAACTTTGGACTGCATGAAATCTGGGTGGCATGGTATGAGCTACAAATCTCAACCATACCTGAACGAAAATGGCAAGTATAAAACATAACAGTTAGTGAGGACGAACTACACAAAAGAATATCCAAAATGAGTACTGATGAATCACCATCATCATCAAATCCAATCCTTCCAAGCTGCATAATCATCACAACAGGAGATTGCATGGTGCTAATATCCATCATGCAGACATTGGTTGCACAGTCATCATAAAGAACGCAACCCACAGTATTGCCACTGAAAGAAATAATCATTTACAGATAAGTTTACTCAAGGTTTACCAAAAATGAAACACCATTTATGTAAGATACTCACAGCTCATCTACCAGCAACAATCGCAATTTGTTCTTTATCTCATTGTTAGACTTGTACTCCTCTAGATGCCCAATTGATGCAACGAATCCAATGACATCTAACAGAGGAATATAATAGTAAACCAGCATGACTAAGTAGTGGGGAACAATAGTCCAACTCATAAAGGAGGAAAACCTGAACTTAATATTACACTTACCAATAAGATAGTCAACATGGTTGCTCTCCTTCATCTTAATTATGTGACGAATAGGGAAGAAATGATAAGAGTATTCAGGTATTTGGGCAAGTACTTCCTTCACATATGTGTAAGTACCTAGTGTCAGTTTGAAAGCATGGTTTGTTGCCCTGTACTCCTTATTATTTGGAGAGACGATGAAATTAGCCATAAAATAAGTTATCCCTTCCACTGCCATGGCACTAAAACGATCAAATAGGTTTTTGTTCATGATAGAAGCTTGGATTCTTGTCCCCTATTTGTTGCCAACACAAGAAAAGGAAATAAGGTAAGTAGTGTGTGCATATTGACAGAGGGAAAATTATTTAGGTAAAGGGATATAAAGCATTCTAACCTCTTCATCTATCAGTAGCATGGACACGCAAAAAACCTCAGTAGGAGACTCCTTCTTGTAGACATTCCACCTCCTGATCACACGAACTGTAATTCTCCATCTGTCAGTTGAGTCATTGACTTCCTTCAGCAGAGAGCACTTCTTGGCAGCCATTTTTGGGACCACAACAAATAACTTAAGTTGCTGACTTATGAAAGAAAGTAGGCTTATGCAGGAGTGTGTGAAGCCAATAGCACATATCTGAATTTATAGGGAAAGAAAGCTGTAAATCGGCAAGAGTGGAAGCTAAACTTCCATCGACTTGAGATTTGAGGTCCTCAACTAAGAGTGGCTACTTAATTATTATGTTTGAAATGGACTAGAAATAAGCCATCATAAAAATTCGGCTGAACTGACATTTACATGCTGAATATTGCAGCCTATGGATGTATGTGTCAGATATGTACGGATGACCTTTGTTGAGACGTGAGGTCTTTTCTAATTTGTTTGGGTGACTGAGTGGAATTTATGCAATACACTCTTAATTCCTAATTCTAATTTCTTGTTTGATTTTTAGTGTACCTTAGTCTTTTGTATAAAATGATTTTATGGCAACATGTTGTACATGAGCTTGTGTTTCTTCTATTGCACAATATGTAATCAGAAAAAAAGATGTATGGAACCAAATCTCCTACTGAGATGATTTGCTGCTTACACGGACAGCAAGAGATTACTACCTTTACAGTAGAGGCCATCGAAAAAGCACTAAGGCGTAGATATAACAAATAAGGGGCAAAAGTAGGGACTAATGCTACATACTATGTGTGAGATTATCTACTGTTAAGCATTGAAATTTGGATACAGCATTGGGAAGAGAAGTATTAGAACTGCTGTGACAGACAAGCTACAATATCTCCTACTGAGATGATCTGTTGCTTAAATGGACAGCAGGAGGTTATCACCATTACAATAGAGGCCATAAAAAACACTAAGGGATAGATCCAGCAAATAAGAAGGAGAAGTAGGGACTAAAGCTACGGAATATGCATAAGAAGATCTACTATTAACCATTAAGATTTGATACGCCTTTGGGATATGCTGTGATAGAGAGGCTACATCATATCTTTATGGCACACAAAATATCACATGGAGCCCCGTGAGCCGTCTCAGGATTGGAATAGATTAATCCAAGCTCTAGCAGCGTGAAAAAAGAACGCTTGTCTATTGATACAAACCAAGAATAAATCCTTATGATGGACACTGATATGCGGCAGATGTATTAGCTGTGCTGAATCATAACATAGCTGTGAAGGCCATTGAGACAAGCATTAATGAGACAACGCTGGTAAAGATCAGCAAAATCCCATCATCTATGGCCCTTCAATTTATAGGATCATCTGTCCTGCACTATCACAATATATTAACCTTCTAAATCAAATTGAAGAATGGCCTATGAATGTTTGAATCATGCACAACTAACCACAGTTTATTATTGACAAACATTGTGAAATTAAAATAAATGCTCAAAACGTTCACCTCACATCTCTACACGTCATGCATATTAAATCAATAGACTGAATGACTTAAATATAATTTTTTTCTCACATACACACACACAGCATAGTTGAAGAAAAATCGGTCAGAATGGGTTGACTGAAGGTTGGAAAATTCATCTCGTAACCTCTTCTAAAAGCATACCAGAGTAAATACTAACATATTGCATAAAAGCATACCACTACATGCACTATTCGGGGTCAGGTTCATGGGGACTTGAGACTGATATGGCAATGACACCAGGTCATTTCGTTTCTGACTTGCAAAGCAGGTTTTAGCGTGGGTTTTAAGTATTGACAGAGTTGTTCACTGAATACTACATTTTCAAATGGTTGCCATACCCCTTATATATGCTGACCAACTTGTCAGAAAAAGTACTAAAGTGTTTCACCAACAATCAAATCAATATAACTTGTACACTCAAACATTTTATCAAGAGATTGGATTAGTAGAAAATGCATTTATGACTTTTTTCAAATACGGGAGACTCTTGCAACAAGTTGATTGGTATGAACTTTAATATAAATCAAAACAAATTTATTTTTGTTTTTTTTGTATCTAATATTACCTTTCATAATTGATTTATTCTTCTGAATCCAACATGATTAATACATGTGCTACAAGATCTGAAAGAAAATCTACAGCAATATGTTGGCATCATTCAGATAAAATTTGATTGGTTTCTTTGTCAATATCCAGTTATCAAATGTGTTTGAACTGACACATAAAATGAGGATGAAATGCTAGAAGACCTTATTCCACTACCAGGTAGTCTATCAGGTTCAAAATCGTCTGGACGTGTAAATATTCATGGGATAAGTAAAGGATATTATATTCAAATTTTGCTAGTTCAACATACAAACTTTGATCGTAGTAAATACAGTGTTGAAGATACATGGCAATGGGAACTCAAAATATGCTAGAAGAGATAAATCGACAATAGTCCAAATTCCATACTACTGCTACTACTAATGAACAATAGCCCAATGCCTAAAATACAAATATCCATAGACACATTCCACAGTAGCTTGACCATCGCCTTCTGTCTAACAAAATAGCACCAGCTGCCACTCCATTAAACCATCAAGCTATAACACCCAACAGCAAAGCTCTCCTAAGCGGCATTATCTCGGTGAAGGTTGGGTTCCAGAAAACCTTTGTTGCATTCGCATAGTTCTTGAGGCAGAACTTCCCTGCAGGATGGAAGATGAGATGAGGAGAATAATGAGTGGCATGAAGTCATTATATTAAACTGTTTAACATAAAGGAACGTGTGGTCTTTCATCATACCGTGCTGCCTATTCACCACTGCATAGTTGATCAGAGCGACGAGTTTATGCATTCTTTTCAAAGGCAGATAACTCTTCCATGCCTCATCAGCAGAGTCACCGAAAAGAACACACCGTACCATATCTCCCCTGATTTAACCAAAACAGAAAGAAAGGGGTAAAATCCCATAATGGTTAAGATTGATGCATAGGAATTCACATGATTTTAACTCACTGAGGGTCTCTTATGACAAATGTCATAACACGTGTTAGCACGCCCCTGACTCTAGCCCATTTAATCTTCTCGATGCCGACTAACAGTCCAAACACATCTGAATCATGATGGACATATAATCAGTTGCTTAGGAGTAAAATGTGATTATACATCACATGAAATGTTCCATATCAGAAGATGTCGTACCTCTCACTTTGCAACCAGAAGATGAATCCCTACGTATGGCCTCCACAAACCAGATCTTGAAACAATGGAGAGGGAATACGAAATTTCGCTCCTGCACTAATGTGTTATGAAGGACAACTATATAATGCTTCGAATGGATACCCCCACCACCAAGACCAACAGAGAAGTATTGAATCAAGTAAACCTGTCCCTCGATGATGAGGTTACAAAAGGATCTATCAGCTCATCCCCATCGATCCTGAGAAGCATCCTAGTTTGCTGCAGCAAAATAATATAAATGGGATGAAAAAAGATGTGCACATACGTGGAGTAGTAAAATACATGGACTTATTACCATAGATGCAATACTTGTTCATCGAACACTATCATATCTAAAGAGATCAGCTTCTTCGGATATCCCAAGTCCCTCTCAGTAACATCATACTCAGTCCTAGTGAACACCCTGTCGACCTTCACCACAACTTTCCAGGTCTCCACAGAAGGTGCCAATTCATCGAGCCTGTGAAACTCAAAAGCCATGAATATGAGATAGAAGATAAATACGTTCAGTAAAATGGTAAGAATTAAGATGTGGGAGAAGGTAGTACAGTATATTATATGGGCGTGGGACACCCAACCTGTTGATAGCCTTCCTACTTGTACAATAGGATTTCAAGAAGAGGAAGCAGCAACTCATGATTCACCCATGCGCTGAAAAAAGGGAGATAAAAGAACAATCACACTGGCGTAAGAAATAGATGCCCATGCACGAAGCCCAAGGAAGCTGGAACTGTTTATATGAACAGTATATTTATTAGAGAAGCCGACTTAGGCAAACGACTTAGGCACGTCCTTTTTAGATCATACATCTTTAAGATATATAGATCGGATCCTGTGCTCCCGTTTGCTTTAGGGGCTAGCTTGTTTTGTCTGCTGTGCTTCCTTTTTTTTTTTAAGGAAAATTTCATTTAAAAACCGCAGTTGAGAATTTATATCAGTCAATTCTTAAAAAATTCTGAAATATCACTGCAAGACCAAAAGACCAAACTGAAATTAAAATTAAGAATGAAATTACAATAATACCCTTCACTTTTATTTTTTTAAAAAATAAATATTAATAATCATCAGAGTTCTAGCCAGGGGGTCGGAGGTCTGGCTATCGGCACTCAGGAGACCAAAAGATTTTTTTTTTTTTTTTAAACAAGGTAGCCTAGGGAAGGTTTGAACCCATGACCCCTTGGCACACCAAAAGTGATATAACCACCAAATCAAGCAAGCCATTTAATCATGTAATGCAAATAAATAAATATATATATATATATATATATAAACAAACACAAGTGTCCAAGTATAAATAAACAAGTGAAATTCGACAGTTTACAAGTAAAATTCAACAATTTACAACAAAAATTTAGTAATTTACAAATAACATAATGGAATTCACAACTTCAAATATAAGTATTTAAGTGTAAATGAGTAAGTAAAATTTAAAGATTTACTACAACAATTTATGGATTTACAACCCAAATTTGGTTATTCACAAGAAACACAAGAGAATTCATAACCTAAAATGTAAGTTTGAATGTAAATGAACAAGTAAAATTCGATAATTTACAAGTAAAATTTGACAATTTACAAATAATATAATGGAATTCACAACTCCAAATACAAGTGTTTAAGTACAAACACTACAAAAAAAATTGACTTTCAGCGGCGACAAAAGTCGCCGCTGAAAGTACAAAAGTCGTCGCCGAAAGTTTTTTGCGGCGACAAGTCGCCGCTGAAAAGTCATTACCGTAGCAGCCGTGGCTGAAAACTTTCAGTGGCGACTAAAAAGGTCGCCGCTAAAAGACACTTTCAGCGGCAACATTTGTCGCCGCCAAAAAGTCTTTCAGCAGCGACAAAAAAGTCGCCGCAGAAAACACTTTCGGCGGCGACACTCTTATCGCCAC